GAAGGAATGGAGAGTAACTGCTAATGAGTAATGGGGTATCTTTTTGGGGGTGATTAAAGTATCCAAAATTGATTATGTTGAAGGTTGCATAATTACATGAATATTCTAAAAATCATCAAATTGTAAAATTTAAATGGGTGGGTGGTATCCTTTGTGAATTGTATCTCAATAAAAAGAAGAAAGAAAGAACAAACAAGAGAATTCTGGAGGAAACACAGAGCAGAGTGTAGCATGGGAAATTTCAAGCTCCTTAGAAAAGCCATATGCTGCGGGCCGGGCGCGGTGGCTCAAGCCTGTAATCCCAGCACTTTGGGAGGCCGAGACGGGCTGATCACGAGGTCAGGAGATCGAGACCATCCTGGCTAACATGGTGAAACCCCGTTTCCACTAAAAAATACAAAAAACTAGCCGGGCGAGGTGGCGGGCGCCTGTAGTCCCAGCTACTCGGGAGGCTGAGGCAGGAGAATGGCGTGAACCCGGGAGGCGGAGCTTGCAGTGAGCTGAGATCCGGCCACTGCACTCCGGCCTGGGCGACAGAGTGAGACTCCGTCTCAAAAAAAAAAAGGAAAAGCCATATGCTACCATGAAGTATCTGCAGTAGAAATAGCAGCTTGAAGTTTTAGAAGACCATCAAGTGGCATGAAAGAAACCTAGAATCCCTTGTGGAATCTCGTGGAGGATGCAGAAGGCAGCTGAGGATTAAGCAGCAGCCTACTTACCAGGCAGTGGCTGTGGCATAAGGTGAACAGCCCCAAAGAAAAGGCTGTACGGTGGATAGCCAACGTCAGGGGCCAGATGGAGGATCTGGCTGAAGTTTGGAGGGTTAGCTGCGCTACTAGGAGCTAGGGTAGGAATCCTGAATAGTAAGTAATGAGAGACAACTGAGCTTCCTGACACAATCATTGTGTGTTACTCATGCTGAGAGAATAAGCCATAAATTGTGAACATTTAAGCAGTGAATAGAGTGAGACAAAATGAGCTACACTTCAACTGGGATCCAGCAGAGGTTATGGGGATCAGATTTCTGCTCCTTGGTTCCATGAGTGAGTTTGAACTTTAAATTGATTATTTGTACAAGAGAGACTTAATTCAGAACAGACTTTTATATTTTAATTGACAATGTTAATCCTCACCCTGCCCAAACTGTGCCTCCAACCAACTGGAATAGGTGCCCCAGAACACAATGAGATTAGTCAAACAGCTATATTTTTATAATTAAATTTTGAGGTGAGGCCCATTGGGCTTCATCATGTACATTTTCAAACTCCAATATATGTACAGAAGCTAGTAGATGAATTCTTTTAAAAAGAGAGAAAAGAGAAAAACAGTCAAGTAAAGACTTTTTCAAACTATAGTAGACACCTTCACGTTTTGATTGTTCACAATTCCTCTAACTGCCCTAAATAACACTCTGTTTGATTATCTTCTTCCTAAGAAGCCTTTTTCTCCAATCTACAACTAGCTAGCTTTATTGATTCTTCCACATTCAGAGTAGATATTAGCATATCTAAATCTCATTAAGGAGTTTATAGAACTTTCTCTAAAGGAAATAGGTAACGAAACAACATTCAATTAGTTTGTACTCAAGTTGACAATAGAAGATGTAAATGAAACAACTAGAAAACAAGGTAGATCATGGTGCTTTCGCTCATAAATGTGTTCATTAGATAAAGAATTTTGGAAAGAAGGATCTGTTTTGTAATCAGAAAAACAAAAACTGATTTACCAATTTGAATTGAAAAGTAGGTAAAGAATTTCAGTATTTACTCACGTATTCATTCAAACATAAAAGGGAACTGATTACCACCTCCACCACAACAACCATGTGTTATATGTGTACAAGGTTAGATCAAAGTGGTAGCTAAGAATATTACATTCTGCAGTTGTTCAAGGATGACAGTTGAGAAAGTTTGATGACAGAGGATAAAAATAACACTTGTTTGGGCATAAATGGCAGGGTTTTTTTTCAATGAAATATGTGAATGTTTCCCCTTTTACCTACAATCCCAGAAACCTAAGAAAATAATTTTGCAACATTAAGTTCACTACCTCATCAAATTATAATTATTCTTATTTTCTGAAATGAAAAAATAACTGTTATAAACATGAGAACAAATTGAGGCAATGATAATATATTAAGTAACTATTGGGTTTAATTCAATTACTAGCTTTGCTGCACAGTAAATAATATGCATAACCTCTGTTCAAGTATTTTTTTCCACAGTTGTAAAACAAAGCCTTTGACAGGAGTTAGTTAACAGCAATTTAGAGCTGCCTCTAAATTGCAGAAATAAAAATGCTCACAATTTGAATGTGCTTTGTTGACAAAGAGACTATGGCCTATTTATTTTATTTTTTTAAGTGGAATCTTCAGCTCCCCGATTGACAGTCAGTTACAAAGAGAGGAAGGCACCTTAAAGTTTCCTCTGGAGGGTATATCACTGCACTCCAGTATCAGCAGTGGGTAGAAACCATGTGCTCTGTCATACTTTGACCTTTATACTTCAAGCCAAGAGAATCCTGAGCAAGGTCAGTTTTTCTATCCACGCAGTGTGCACTTTGCATAGATGTAAAAAATTTTTTTTCACAGAATTTGTTCTGTGGATTTCGTTTATGTTTGAATGAAATATGTTTCTTTTTATGCTGGTGACTTTGCAAGAAAACCAGGCCAGGAGAGGCATTTCCTCAAAGGCCTAAAGGAGACATTACCACCACCACCACTACTTGCCAAGGGATTTATAAAGCATCTTGAGGCTCAAGGTTAGTATGGGAGATGAGCCAGGCTCAGGAGAAGTTAACACAAAGATAAAGGTTAGTGTTTTCCCCCGTTTTAGTTAGCCAATACAACAAAGTACTTAGATAGTAACCCCTAGTGGTCAGGTAATGATGTCTTTTCTGCAATTATCACATTTGTGTTTGTCTATTTTCTTTATGCTAGTGAGGTTTGGAATTGGAATTGAAAATCCTCTAGGGAAAAGCTATTTTTGTAATTCAGCTGGGGTGTCCTTGTCTTTGGGTTTTCCCATTGCATCAGTCCCTTAGCCTGGCAGGATAGCCATGATAGTGCTTTGTCTTTTAGATGAAATGCAGAACTAAGGACATGACTACTGGTGCTTATTAAAGATTCCTTGCTATTTTTCACAAGAGTAGGGGCGTTAGACTCTTGTCTACTGGCCAAATTCTAAATTGGGAGATTACATTCTGCTTTCCTAAATTCCCCTAGCAGAAGCAGCCATCCATGATATCCTACTTTGCTTCCTGTGCTAAACTGTTTTGTGATGTCATTAAATGGCTCTGGTTTTTTACTCTAGAAATGATCACTTTAGTGGGGTGGGGAGTAAATTGATACCTATTGTCTGATATTATGTTCAATCTAGTTTCAAAAAAATTAAAAGGTGGGCTGTGATAGTTAAGGACAAAGTACAAAACACCCTAACCTACAAAATACCGTAACGTACCAGTTGTTGTGGTGCTTTTTTAAAAAAACCAATCTGCCTTCTCTTCTGTAACATAGACAAAATATTAATGCATTTTTTTTTTGCTCCACTAGTAGTTGACAAAGAATTGTTATTTGTTTTAAACATAAGGTTAATTCTAACAGTGATGAAGTTTGAGAGGATGAAATTACATATCACTGACCAATTAAACTATCTCTTTTGTCTTTAGGCTGCACCTAACCATTCCAGACTTTCATTTGTCTATCTCACAAAATCTTTTTGGAAGGAGATTTTTTTCATCTTTCCTTGGTAACATATTTCAGTGTCTCTCAATCTTTCCATAAAAACTAAGTTATTATTTCTGTTTAACCTCAGTTGCACCTGCTGGAGTGTAATGTCACTATCTTTTGTCCATTAGTAGCCTTATTATCATATATTGTTAGTGAGAGGCAATATAGTATAATGGCATGGTTTTTGGAATCAGACATGCCGGCATTCCAATCCTAGCTCTGTTACTTTCTAGGTGTGTGATCTTGGGCAAATTACTTCTGAGGTTTAATAGCCTCATCTGTTAATGAGTAACCTCAGAGCATTGTTGTGAAGATAAAATGAGATAATATCTTATTCTGAAGGATTATGGGGTAGGACGAGGTATGGTACTGGGCACCTAAAAAACGTTCAGTACATACTATAATAGCAATTTATCTGATTATGTGCATGTATCTGACTTAATTCATAAACTCTTTGAGAGTGGGAGGCATACTTCCTGCGCACGCCCTGGATTTCAACAGAAGTATAGTGTTGTGCACATAGTATGGTGCAGAGGCTCAATATTACTGAATGAATAAATTGTTTTGTTTTTATTCCCTGAGTGGAATGAACAGCCCCCAGCTATCTGCAAGATCCCACGCATGTAGATAAAAGGTGACAAAAATCAATCTGCAGTTTTAAAATATGCAGATACCTGACTTTATCTAGATGTTCTAGCATGGTGTAGATACAATGCAAATAACTTACGCTTTCTATCAGGTTCATTTCTACAAATTTTAACATTTATTGTCATTATTTTTATTATTAAGCTACACTTAGGCACCTAGAAAGGGACTGACTCATATGCCTCCTCATCCATCCAAGCATTTAATTGAGAAATTTTTTAAATGAATATTAAGAGCTAATTATATACTTAAACAAAATCTTTCAATTTGTGACTAAGTACATTTCCTTCCCTATTTATCTCTAAGATCTGAGCACTACAGATAATATTCCTAATTGCTTTTTACCCAAGCCAAGAAATAAAAACCAAAACCAGAAAAGTCCACCACTGCAAGTCCCAAAGCACAATTAATATCTTTGAACCAGTGAAGTATTAGTTAGGACTTTATTTTTGGCTTTTAAATGTTTACAAACGGCTAGGAGGGTAAGTTGGGGGAACAAGTACAAGATACATCGATTCAATCGGACTTGAATATTTCTCCATAAGGAAAGGAAAGAGTACCCTGGTGTGTGCTTAGGCTGGAATTAAAAAGAGCAGCGTGGCCATTTCCCCGACTGCTTTGTACATACTTAACAGGGGCGGTCTCAGGTATGGAGCTTCAGGCACCTGCTCGCTCACACTCCAACAGTTCAGAAACCCGTGTATTTGAGGCCGGGTGGCTCAGGTTCCACGTAACTGGGCTTAAGTGTCATTAATACTACTTGCAGCGGGGGTCACTGAGCTGTGCTTTGGGACCTGGATGCTTACTTCGGACTTTCTCCTTTCTTCCCCCCTGCCCCCACTAGTTTCCTTTTCCCTCCTTCCTTCCCGGGCGTGCCCACCTCTTCCCTTAGCTCCCACTTTCCACTATCTGACTCTTGTTTCCTTCACCTTCCTTTCTAATCGGCTTCCTGGCTTCCATCCTCTGCCGGCCGCAGAGATTGAGATTCGGGCTGGGGCTGGGGCTGCGGCTCAGAAGAGGCACGAGTCCGGCGGGACAGGCGCGAGGCGCCCAGCCGCGAAAGCGAGGAGCGCGCACCGAGGCGGGGCGCGCGCGCGGGGCAGCCGCGTGGCTAGGCAGACGGGGCCGGGAACGGCGCGCGCGCGCCCCGCCAGCCTCTGGCGCGTCCCCGGCGGCCTGGGCCGCAGCGTGCTCGCCCCCGCCGCCAGCTCGCCTCACTTATGGGTCGGAAACGCTGCGTGGGGGAGACTCTTCCAAGATGGCGGCGGGTTGCTGCGGGGTGAAGAAGCAGAAACTGTCCAGTTCGCCCCCCTCTGGCTCGGGTGGCGGTGGTGGCGCCTCCTCCTCCTCCCACTGCAGCGGAGAGAGCCAGTGCCGAGCTGGGGAGCTGGGACTAGGAGGCGCCGGTACGCGGCTCAACGGGCTGGGAGGTCTAACCGGAGGAGGTAGCGGCAGCGGCTGTACCCTCTCTCCCCCCCAGGGCTGCGGCGGCGGCGGCGGGGGGATCGCCCTGTCGCCACCTCCGAGCTGCGGAGTGGGGACCCTACTTTCTACCCCGGCCGCCGCCACCTCTTCCTCACCCTCCTCATCGTCCGCCGCCTCGTCCTCATCGCCGGGCTCCCGGAAGATGGTGGTGTCAGCAGAGATGTGCTGCTTTTGCTTCGATGTGCTCTACTGTCACCTGTACGGATACCAGCAGCCCCGGACCCCCCGATTCACCAACGAGCCCTAGTGAGTACCGTGCCCTCCGCCGCCCTCTCCCTTGCGCTCGGGATGGGGCTCAGAGTTGAGGCAAAGTGCGAGTCCGCCTCCCGGCCGGCGGATGCCCCTGCCCTCTCGCTGCCCGGGTCCCCGGAGCCACTCAACTGAACTAAGGGCACCCTGCGCTTTTTGCCCTCCGAGGCAGGCACCCCACACTTGGAGCAGGGTGCTGCTGCAAGGGATGGCCCCGTGGCTCCTAGAGGTGTTAGCTTTCTCTTTGCGATGACTTCGAGGAGTTTTGACCCCTTTACTTGTCTTCTTCACCACCCCCACCACCCCTCACCCTGCCCCGGTTTTGGAGATCTGGGTTACTCAAGGTGTTGACCTCTCCTCACTTTGGTTTCCGTTACCCCAAGTGAAAGCCCCGCCAGTATTCCCGCCCCGCGTACCTTGCACATGGGGAACTACTATCCCATTGCAGGGCGAAAAATAGCAAGTATCCAACTTCTGTTAGTGATGGAACTTAGCTCTGGAGCTTGTGAGGTTACCCATCTTTTCCTCTGGGTTTCCATGTGCCCTGGGAAGGGGGGAGGTTTCTTAAAACACATTTTCCCTTACTACTTATTTTTATCCAAATACACCCATTAAAATGTGTTTCTCGTGAAGCGAGCGCACTGCCGGCTTCCTCACATGTGAAGAGTGAGACCTTTTTTTTTTTTTTTTTTCATTCCACTGTCTGGATAATAGCTCATTCAAAGAGAACTGTCCCCACAGAGCCACTGTCAGTTTGTACATTAAGCGTGCATTCGCTTTTGTGTCGATTTCACTTTTTAAGAAATCCATGTTATACTCGATGATTTGAGAACAGTTAAATAGTAAATGTGTAGGAATTGTTATGGTTTCCTTTGGTTTTGTACCTTAAATTATCTTACCCTTCAAGTGTGTGGTTGAAAATTTTTAAATAGCACTGTTACAGCTAAAAGCCAGGTTAATTCTAATCCCTGTCCATTTGCATGTGTGGGAGATGGGGCATATGGTTTTTTTTTTTTAATGTGTAAACTGAATGTAAACTGACTTTTTGAGTTAAATGCTAGACAGAATGTAAAGACCAAAAGAGGGCAGAATGAGAAAAAGTGCAATTGCTTTTATTTGACTACTTAGCATCAACAAGAAAAATAATACAGGAAAAATTTCAGTGAAACTCGTACTGAAAGGCATCACCCCCTTTTCCAGCTAAAAGTGCCGCTTGTCCCCCATATCATAAATACCTTAATTGATGTTCTTTTAAAAGTGCTTCATTTTGTGAGATTAGAGGATTGGACTACTATTGTATAAGTATAAACACTTCTGCCTAGACTAAAATATTAATATGTAAAGTGGAAATTACAATAAAGTGTCCTGGAAATTGTGCATTTGTACTGTTTGTTTTATTTGGCTTTTATTCTTTAAATGTCTTAATTTTGTATGACTCTTCTGTGGTCTGTGCATTTTCTTTTAGACTTGGTTAATCTTTGGGCATTGGTTCATGAGAAGTGCATGAAAGAGCATCCAGGAGAACACTTTGTCAAACAAATATCTTTATAAATTTCATAGTGTTAATTCTAGAAGCTTAAATCCTAAGTCCACACCTTTATTTAGCCAATTAATTTTTTTGGTTAAGAAGTAAAATTGATTTTGAAAAGACTGCCATGTAAAAAAATCTATGAAATATTTATTAGCTTGAGTCACTTATTTGTGACTTTTCTGCCTTCTCTTGGATGTCTTTGATATATTAAAGCTAGTCCTGGGATGATACTTAGGTTGGCTCTGCAAAGTCATGGGACTGCAAAAATTCACTCCTGTTTAGTTCTTGAGCTGTTACATGAGTTTGGCAAAGGCTGCTTTAGTATTCACGCTCCATTGCTCCAAAGCATATGAGAACACACTTTCAGGAGGTGCTATTTTCACACATTTTAAAGTGAGTTTGGGTTAACTCAATGACTATAGCAAGAATTTTAAAAGGAAAGTGAGCTTGACCAGTTCATACAGAAAATGCTTTTGAAAATTTCATTTTAACAGTAGCCACTTTGCACACATATTTAGATATTATTCTCTTCAAACACCCCAGCCCCTGGATTTCTTTTTCATGGAATTAAGCAGATGATAGGACACACTTTTGACCGCTGTGGATATGTTGAAACGGTGGTGGAAGAAGAATAACTATTATCATTTAGCAGACCTTGAATGTGTCAAGTATTCTATAAAATAACTAATGTAGAGTAGACCCTGAAGATGACCAAGTGGAGAATGAAAGTTCACTTAAGTGGAAAATGGACTGTCTTATTTCCATGTATCTTCAACTCATTTTTGAGGTGTACTGTGGAAAATTCAGGAAAGCTTCCTCATTATGGGAGGGAAATAACTAAGCATTTCAACAGTGCCTTAGTAAGTACCACACATTTGTCTTTCTGTTTTACATATTTAACAGCATTGTGTACTTATTAGTGTTGCTTTATCCTAAGTGCCATAAGACATAAACAGACATACTGGGATTTTTTTTTTCTCCTAGTTATTATCATGTCATGAGCAGTGTGTTTGCCCACCAGATGTTGTGCTTTTGACAATTTTAACTTCTCATACATAAATGCACACTCTTTTCATCCCTTCCCAGGACTTTTCTCTCAGAATGTCTGTAACTGGTGAAATCCTCATTTTATGGGTTTAGAAGCTCTAGATCCATCAGTTAGTTATCCTTCCACTCAGTATTGAGGGGATGTCAACATATGAACAGGCTGTCTGGATACAAATTCTTCACTGTTGCTCCCATTTTTTGATTACCTACCCAATTGCAGAAAGCATTGTACAGGCAAGTTTGTGCACAGAAATCTGGTTAAAGACATGAGGAAAACTTAACTTTACTGCATTTTGATATTCAAAATCAGCAGTCTTGGATTTATGTCAGGGAGCCCAGAAAGCTATTTTATAGGAACCTGTTTGCTACTATAAAGGGATCCACTGTGCCAGGTGTTGAGCTAGTTAGACTCCAGAGCAGTCATTCTTAACTTTGGCTGCACATTGGAATCACTGGGAAGTTATTAAAAATATTGATGCCTGAGCCCCAACTCCAGAGATTCTGACTTAATTGGTCTTGGATGGGGCCTGGGAATCAGGATTAGTAAAAGCTCACCAGGTGAGTTTAATGTGCAGCCAAGGTGGCGAACCACTGGTTATAGTCTGAATCTTTCTCTTGGGATTTGGATAATTGGGGCTAGGGTAGTGCCTTGGAATCTGTATTTTATGAGCACCCTAAATTTCAGTAAACAACCGATTTGAGAAACTCTTGCATTGTGGTCTGCAGAAGACATCACCCGGGAAATCATTACAAATGTAAGCTCTCAGGCCCCGCCTCAGACCTGCTGAATTAGAGTCTGCAGTTTAACAAGCTTCTCAGGTGATTCTTATGCACATTAAAGTTTGAGAAGGACTAGTTCTCAAACTTTGTAGTACATCATAATCTATGGTGCTTGTTAAAACACAAATTGTTGGGCCCCATTCCCAGAGTTTCTGATTCAGTTGGTGTGGGGTGGGGCTGTGAATTTGCATTTCTAACAAGTTCCCTGGTGATGCTGATGCTACAGTTCCAGGGCCACACGTTAAGAACCTAGGGAGAGAGAAGTGAGGACCTGAATAAGTACTTGAACGACTGTAATGGAATGGCAATTTTCAAGGCCGGTTTTCAGTATAAAACTTCCTGCTTCTGTGTCACTATGCTTTAGCATGTTCATTCTAACTTAGCACCCAGGAGATTGAGTGCTGCCGAGAGTGTAAGAGTCTGAGGTTTTCGGGATGGTTTTAGTTGAGGGGTGAGGGCGACTCTTGGAAACCTGTGGTATGATTTTAGGTCCTTTTTCAGAAATTGTTAAATGTAAGGGATACATTTTAGGAATTAAAAACATTACAAATACGATACCTTAAGGTGAATTGTATTGATTTTAATAAGTAAAGCCCCCTTTGTTCCCATAAAATGCTCTTATGATTCTTTCACTAACGTATTATGAAAAGATTTTAAAAGCTTTTATTTATGCTTATGGTTGCTGGATTTCATTTTAAGACCCCTTCTGTAACAAAAATATGAAATGATTCTGCTAAAGCACTGGGATTGTTCAGTCTTATATCTTTAATGCTGCTGCGTGTCATGTTACTTGAACTTTTTATTTTAATCATCTTACCACCTTTGAAGTTAACGCAATACTACATTTTTTATGGACCATAGCACATAGAAGATTCTTTATTATTAAAGTACATCAGTAAGTGTGGTTTTAAATTGCAATTAATTAAATGTATTTTTTAAAAAATCCACTCCCAGATATGCAGATTGTGAGACTCTGAAGAGGTGTTTGAACAGTTAACTCTTTCTTATCTTGCCACCGTAGTCAAGTTACTGTTTTTCAGTGTGCATGGGAGGAATTGGGTTGTGTTGGGGAGTAGGCATTTTGTTTAGACAGAACTGTAGCAATCCTATTGCACTATCAAAAAGATGATTTGATAGTGCAGCTCAGGTTAAAGTGATATTAAATTTGCATTTTTAAACATGAGCCATTATATTTCTATGTTTTCTGATGAAGATTGACCAGAATAGCCAGAAGATGTATCTGTCTATCACAGATGATGCCATGAGGCCATGACAGATTTCCTTATCCACACTAACATAATGGTACTAACTTGCATTCTCTGGTCATAATGTATAGTTTTTCTTGTAAAAGAAAAACACTGTCTGAAAAATTGTTGAGTCTTTTTGAAGGTGTAACTTTTTTTTTTTTAAACAATGTTGATTCCCATTGAAAGACAATCTGATGTCATATCTTACAGATAGAAAAGAAGGCAGGCATCTTCCCAGTTGTCAGTTGTTCTGTAAAAGCCATCAGTGACTGAGCTAGAAGGATGGAGACATATAAATCACAAAATTGTTTTTATATCCATGCATAAAGGTGTATGTGAGACAAGGTATATTTAGTTATAAAGAAAATGCTTATTTTGCTTTCTCCCCCATA